TTTTTTGAGACGGAGTCTCGCTCTGTCACCCAGGCTGGAGTGCAGGAGTGCAGCGATCATGGCTCACATAGCCTTGACCTCCTGGGCTCAAGCAATCCTCCCAGCTCAACCTCTCAAGTAGCTAGGATTACAGGCACACACCACCTCGCCCGGCTAATTGTTTCATTTTTTGCAGAAATGAGATCTCACTATGATTAGCTCAGCCTGGTGTCAAACTCCTGGACTCAAGTGATCCTCCCAACTCAGCCTACCAAAGTGCCAGGATTACAGGCTTGAGCCATCACAGTGGCCCCCTGAAGAAATTCTTTATTCCATCCTGACATTTGATTAGAGGGTCTGGCCAAGTTGAGAATGAGGGAAATAGAAATCTGATTGGAAGTTCTCTATATGTCAGGGGCTTATTAATTGCTTAGTTTTTCCTGTAAAATGATCAAGGGGAAACTTGCTTTCTTCCTTTGATGACTCACAAAATGAGAGTGTGAGGGCGTCATTTACCTGAGCCAACTCAGTTTTTCTAGAGAAGAACCTCCAATCTACTGTCTGGGCACAACTTTCTGGGAGTAGGAGAAATGAAGGGGACTAGAAGTCTAACTTTTTTTTGAGATAGAGTCTGGCTCTTTCGCCCAGGCTGGAGTGCAGTGGAGCGATCTTGACTCACTGCAGCCTCTGCCTCCGAGCTTAAGTGATCCTTTCACCTTAACCTCCCAAGTGCCTGGGACTACAGGTGTGCCGCCTCGCCCAGGTAATTTTTAAATTTTTTGTGGAGACATCAGCTCACCATGTTGCCCAGGCTGATCTTGAACTCCTGGACTCAAGTGATCCTCCCACCTTTGCCTCCCTAAGTGCTGGGATTACAGATGTGAGCTTCCGTGCCCGGCCTTATTATGCAGACTTTCAATAAAAGTTCTTAGTTCTGAGTCTTATCTCCATTCCCTGCCATGCCTGGGATACCTAAACATGGAGCTTCTTAGGTTCCATTTTTCCAGACTCCAAATTTAACTCCACAGGTAAGGTTTCTAGGGAACCAAGTGACAGAGATCTGTTCTCTTTTTACCAGATAGATCATCCTATTTTATTTCTTAATGACAGTAGGACTTTCTATAATGTCTCAAACATAGGATTGCCAGATTTAATAAAATACAAAATGCCCAGTTAAATTTGAATTTCACATAAACAATGCAATATGTGGGACATACTTAAACTAAAAGTTAATTTCTTTGAAATTCATATTTGACCAATAGCCTGCATTTATTTCTTTATTTATTTAGAGATGGAGTTTTGCTCTTGTTGCCCAGGCTGGAGTGCAATGGCATGATCTCAGATCACTGCAACCTCTGCCTCCCGGGTTCAAGTGATTCTCCTACCTCAGCCCCCTGAGTACCTGGGACTACAGGCCGGTGCCACCATGCCTCGCTAATTTTTGTATTTTTAGTAGAGAACATGGTTTCACTGTGTTGGCCAGGCTGGTTTCGAACTCGTGACCTCAAGTGATCCACCTGCCTTGGCCTCCCAAAGTGTTGGGATTATAGGCATGGGCCAGACACCCAGCTCACTGTTCTAATTTCTTTTGCTTTTTATTATTTTTTAAGATGGGGTTTCAACATGTTGGTCAGGCTGGTCTTGAACTCCTGACCTCAGGTGATCCACCCATCTTGGCCTCCAAAGTGCTTGGATTACAGGAGTGAGCCACCACGCCCAGCCCTCTAATTTCTTTCTTTTCTTTTCTTTTTTTTTTTTTTTTTTTTTT